CGGTTTGGCGGTCAAACGATAATTGTGTTTGGCGGAGTTGATCTCCGCCTCCTTGCTTTTGAAGACACTTTTCAGAGTGCCTTCTTAAGTGTGTAGTGCCGTGAATAGTGTTACCTTGTAATTTCTCACCACAATATTTACATTGAGCTACGTATTTAATGTTACCGTTATTGTCGACGTCCTCGAATGTGTTGAAGTGCTCCCAAACTGCTGAGGTGCGCTTGCATTTCTTCTTAGAACTTGCAACACTTGCACTAGCACTACCGCTTGCCTCTCCTCCACGGCCACTTGTGCCACCACCATTGCGTCCCCGACCTCTAGTACGTCCACCAGGGGTCGGATTTGCAGTTTGATCAGCATCTCTTTCCATAGTTTGCGATTCCTGCGATTGAAAAACATTAGGAAATTGCCCTTCTTCGATGTTGAATTGGGCATCAATAGGAATATCACCACCACCACCATAACCAGAAGAAGCCATTATGAAAAATAAGAGAGATTGAGAGCGCTTTGAGAGAGCTTAAGAGAGATCGAGATTCGAGAGAGATTTAAGCGAGATTAAGAGAGATTTGAGAGAGATTAAGAAAAATTGAGAGAGAATGAGAGTTTTGGGGTGAGGAAAATGGTTGGGGGAGGGGGTATTTATAGGAAAATTTTTGGGTTGAAAAAATTTTTTTTTCCCCCAAAAATTCGAGTCCAACGGCTACAAAATTTTCGGGCAGGTCGGGCAAAATTCGGGCAGTTCGGGCAACGGATAAAAATATGACCGTTTGGTTCAAAAATTCGGGTTCGGGTTCGGGCAAAAGATCATTTTTTTTCAAAATTCGGGCATTTTCGAGCTAACGGTAAAAAAAAATCGGGCATTTTTCGGGCACGGGTCGAAATTCGGGCAACGGTCACAAAAAATTCGGGTAATTCGGACAGTTCGGGCAGCTTCGGGTATTTGCCAGAAAATTCAAAACAAAATCCGGCGAACAGCGGGGAAAAGCTTCTCCACGGCGGCGGGCTGTCGAGGGCTTACCATTTTCAGGTTACCCGAGCCCGTGCCCAAAGAAAATCATTTTCGGGCGGCGAGACGGGCCTGCCCGCCGTGCCCGAAAATTTTCGGGCATCGGGCATGCCCGCCGCCCGAAAGTCCAACACTAATTGTGACTAAGATGTTCCTGAATTGATAGCTTTGTATGCTCATTATTAGTGATTAGTATGAGAGAGAAAGTAGTAAAAGAAGAGTCAAATTTGTTTTAACTGTTTATAATTTACATAAATGAATATAAAATTATAACGTCAAAAATAATTCTCCAACACTCGGCAAAATCAATAGTAGGGACTAGACTAGGCACACTAAAATCTTAATAATGGAGTCAATTTGCACCACCACAAATTAATATTCTTGATATTAATCTCATTTCTTTATACCATTTGGGGTTTATAATTCCCATTTTATTAAAAAGTGAGACCACCAAAATTCAAAATTAAAATCTTAATAGACATGCGCACACTCACTACTATTTGTCAACAACAATAACAAATGCAAGTCTTAATCTCAAATTAATTGGGATCGGCTATATACATTTCTCATTTTCAGTTTGCTCTATTAAACACGAGACCCTCCTAAAGCCCTAGATCTTAAAATTCATGCCTAACTACGTCGGCCTAAGTAATTCTTGGTCCACCCCTCACACTCCTAGTACTAGGTATTTGGATGTTCTCCCAAGCACAAACAGGTGCATCTAACAATCTACGTTGTACATGCCCTACCACCTCAAACGGTTTTCCCGCACCTTATCTTTTATTAGTGCTACACCTACTTTACTATGAATAACTTCATTCTGTATGCGATCCATCCTCGTATGATCACTTATCAATCTTAACATACGCATTTCCGCCACACTCATCTTGTATATTTGTTGTCTCTTGATAGCCCAACATTCACTATCATATAACATAGCTGGGCGAATTGCTGTCCTATAGAATTTTCCTTTCAACTTAATAGGCATTTTATGATCACATAAAACTCCCGTGGCATTCTTCCACTTAACTCACCCCACCTTAATCCTATGTCCAATATCCTCATCTATATCCCTTTCACACTGCACTATGGACCCAAGGTACCTAAATTTCTTAGAAATCCCAATCACCACACCATCCAAAGAAATTCCATCACTCTTATCTCTCAAGTTAGTAAACCTACAATGCATGTACTCAGTCTTCATTCTACTTAACTTAAATCCCTTCGTCTCAAGGGTTTGTCTCCATAGTTCTAACTTACGGTTAATTCCCTCCTGATCTTCATCAACTAAAACTACATCGTTGAGACGACCCTCCTATGAGGCCGCCACTGTAACTTAAACTTTAACTTGTACTTACTGGGGTTTCTTAAAATTTGCGGAACATTTTTTTTTTTTAATATAAGAAAGAATACTTTCATAATTTGTAACAATAATTTCAAATAAGTGAATCACTAAATTTCTTAAAGCTTTTCTTAATTTCAGTTAAGATAAAACGTTCTAAAAATATCTTTCAAACAGAGCAGCATTTGAACTCTTATTTCAAATGCTCTTTAAAAGTCTTTCTAAAACTAGCCAATTCAATCGGGCCATTTAATTTTGACTTTAAAACGGATTTCGTGAGAAATCTTAAATTCAAGTACATCTTAAAGCCCTTTTAAAATCAATCATTTAAATCGTCATGTTTAAAATTTATTTATTTGTTGCATGCTCTGTTGCAACGTTCTAAAACTTAAATACTCAAAACGAGGGTTGTTAGCTACAACCTCGGTTTCCTTAACATACATATGTACCTATACTTTTTAAACATACATGCTTGAAACCTTTAAATTATATATACATATACATGATTTTTCTTAAACTTACTGCGGAAGATAACTGCGTGAGCGGTATCCATTCCCATCTCCACTATTCGTCCGCCGCTTGCTATTGCCCTTCAAGAATTGCTGATAGGTTTCTTACCTACAGCATGAACATATCTGATTGAGCTTTCGCTCAACAAGTAGGAACTATATCTCACAAAATAACTGTAAGTACACATAAATAAATATGCATGAGCTGATTATGCTTAATTATGATGTCTTACCATATTCTTATTATCTTATCTTATATTTCTTACTGATGGGCCCGAGTGCTCGCGTACCACTTGCGCGCAATCATCGGAACGTGAGGGTTTGCAAGGTCCCCCACGACACCGTGATTATAACTGGAATGCCTCCCTTGAGTCGGAGGACATTATTGTTATTTTCTGTTTCTCCCTTGTGGAGCATGAGTTACCTCCCTTGTGGAGGCTGGTACGGCACTCAACTGATAATTATTCTTATAAGTTCCTCTTGACTTATTAAAGTGTATGCAATATGACATAGCATAGCATACTATAACATGGAATGTACTTAAACACATATACTTCGTGTGCACTGCTTAAGTGTATGCAGTATGATCTA